CCTTCTAGTGGTACTGTCTTAACATCTTAATCCAGAGACATCTGTATTGATTGGCTAGTTTCATAATCTTACATATATTCTAACTGATAGAGGAAACTTCAAATGGTTAGCGGTTACATATTTCAGAAGTTAACTACAGAAAACAAAGGCTGACGTTAGTGATTGACCTTTTTTTTTTCTAACAGTTAAGTATAGAGACCAGTTGCCAGTTCCAGATCTTAATAACCAAATTATAAAAAAACAGTTACTGAAGGTTAATTCACTTTATAAAAATGATATCCGAGGTCTCTAGGCATTATTTCCTACATCGGTGGTTGTGTACTGTCTATTCTCATCACACAGCACTTTTTATTGTAACAAGTTTCTGCGGAGAACAACAAGACAAACAGCAGACTACTACATGTGGACGTCGGTTTCCAAGTATTAAGCACAAAAGTCCATTGGAGCAGCATCAAGGATCTGAACAGGCATGTGGCTGAATGATACTGCTGTGATTCCAGTTTTTCTGGTTATCTTTTTTTTTTTCACGCAAAAAGCTATTGGTTTCGATATGCGTGGAAAGCTGTGAGAGTTCTATGAAGTCGTCATGAATCAAATATACAAGGGTAAGCATGACTCTCATGATGTCACAACTCGCATTTGTGTCGAAAGACCTCAACTTTAGCATGTGTGCAAAATGTTCTTATAAGATGCTCTTAACTTTCCATGATGTTGATGGCTGGCTTCTTGTCCTAGTAACCAGCTTAAAAACTTCTGCTAGTGATCAGTTCAATATCCCAGTAGATCAGTACAAAGATAGCCCCATCTAATGATCAGTTTTATAACTTAAATGTTAACAGAAACAGCGGAAACTGGTAAACCTTCACATACTCTAGTATAGTTTATAGTTCCTTGTCCTAACAGGTGAATAAATACACAATTCCTACTACTGGGCAGATGACATTCAGTCTAAAAAATAGCTTCATCTTGTCTATCTTAGTAGAAAATTTATACTGAGACAACTGCATCAGTTGTTTAGTTCCAAAATTAAAAAAAAAAACAGCTTACAGACACATATGCAGCTGGTAACAGATTAACTGCTCAGAAGTTAAGTACAAAGATATCTGAGATGTGATAGGTTTCCTGTATGGTAGCTAATTATAACTGCAGCTGGTAATCTCTTACCTACTCTAACAACTAATTCTAAGAATCCATGAGTGAAAGCAAAGGAGGATATATTATAATACGTAATTCACACTACATCTGCCGTATTCAGTGCCGATAAGGCCTTTCGCTCAATACTATTGGTCCAGGCGTTATACATATCACCATTTTTTTCTTAAACAACGACTGTTTTGATGTGAACCATATTAAGCATATGAATTATAATGATTATCAATTTTATTTAAGTCATTTACAAATCAGATTTTAATTGTAACAATCATTAATACAACGTTTTCTTATGTTATTTTTATTTTAATACAGAGACACCTGCTACTGATGACAGGAACTCTGCCCAAAGAGGTACTTACAGAAAAAATCTGCAGTTGACACTTGGTTCATTGTCTTTATAGTTAACCACAGAAGCAGTTTATGTTAAAAAACAAAACAGAACCTGTCTTATCAGTTTAATGAATTTGAAGCTAATGACAGAAACAAGTAAAGCTGGTAGTTAGTTCCCTGTCTTAAAATCTGACTATAGAGACAGACCAGTTGATGAGCCAGTTTCAGATCCTTGTTATTGGCTACTAATACAGATGTACCTGACAGCCGAATCTCTTTTTAATAGTTATTTAAGGGATTAGCTGTAGCTGGCGATCAGTAGTTTGACCTAACAGGTAACTATAAAGACCTGTACGGCTGTTAATAAAATACTTTGCACAGTTTTTTTCGGACATTAGCAGTTACAGAGACAGATGTAAAGTCTTTGGTCTTGTATCTAGCCATAGGCGATTCGACCCACTTGATTCCATGTCTTAACAATTAGTTACTGCACAGCTGATGACCAGTTACCTGATCTTGCAGCTATAACCGGTGATCAGTTATCCTATCTTGCAGCTATAACCGGTGATCAGTTATCCTATCTTGCAGCTATAACCGGTGATCAGTTACCTTATCTTGCAGCTATAGCCAGTGATCAGTTACCTTATCTTGAAGCTATATCAGGTGATCAGTTACCTTATCTTGCAGCTATACCCGGTGATTAGTTGCCTTATCTTGTAACTATAGCTGGTGATCAGTAACCTTATCTTGCAGCTATATCAGGTGATCAGTTACCTTATCTTGCAGCTCTAGCCGGTGATCAGTTATCTTATCTTGCAGCTCTAGCCGGTGATCAGTTACCTTATCTTGCAGCTATAGCCGGTGATCAGTTACCTTATCTTGCAGCTATATCAGTTGATCAGTTATCTTATCTTGCAGCTATAGCAGGTGATCAGTTACCTTATCTTGCAGCTCTAGCCGGTGATCAGTTATCTTATCTTGCAGCTCTAGCCGGTGATCAGTTACCTTATCTTGCAGCTATAGCCGGTGATCAGTTACCTTATCTTGCAGCTATATCAGGTGATCAGTTATCTTATCTTGCAGCTATAGCCGGTGATCACTTACCTTATCTTGCAGCTATAGTCGGTGATCAGTTATCTTATCTTGCAGATATATCTACAAAGTGTTTATTGTCCTAATAGTCAACTTTCAGTGATAGATATAGTTGAGTATTTCTCTTTATCTGCTAATAATAATGGTTGTCTGTCGAATCGACGATAACCACTCATTCTTTTCTAGCGTGGACATACCTGTGGTCCAGTAGACCTACACGTGATGCACATGCCCTGCGGCAGAAGTCACTAGAAAATGTTTTGCATCGGTCTGCTGGTTGATTGGTAGCTTTCTTTTTCTCTGATCACTTCATTTCTAGTGCTAAGGCCCTCTTATCTTCAAAGTGTTTTTCCAACCCAAATCATCTTTCTCCACTTCTGCCTATTTTGTACTTGATCTTCTACAGATTCTATTTTTGCTATAAGGTGTCCTTAAAGTGCTTACTATGGCCGCATATTGACCTCTTCCCTTCTTTGAGGACACTCTTGTTGCCTTCTCTGTCTCTTCTAAACAAAAAGAAACTAAAATGCAGATGGTGATAGTTTCCTGGTCGGTTCACTTTTCTAGTTTTTTTTAATGTACATAGCCGGTACAACTGATGACCAGTTGTGTGTCGTATCAGTTATATTTCAGAAATAGGTGCAAGTGATGATAAATTCTCTGTCCTACAACTAACTTGTGTGGATATATGCAGCTCATGCACAAGCGAAATCGATGTATAGGTCAGTTTTGTTTTATGCCCAAAGATTCAGCTTACAAAGCCTGTTGCAGGTGATGGTAGTTTCCTTGTTTTAACAGTTAATTAGAAGACAGCTGCAGCTAATGGTCAGTTGTACTCACCTAACAGCTTAGGCACGAGATAGATACAGCTGGTGATCGATTTCTTGTCTTGACATGAAAGTACAGAGACAGAACTGCAGCTAATTTTTAGCCAACTTACGGTAACATTTTCAACTAGTGTTTAGCTCCTTGTTCTAGTTGTGAATCCAAAGTAAAATTCGCCATGAACTAAATATCCTATAACTAATAGCCAGTATCCTTTCCAAACAGCCAGTCTATATAGTTAGACAAATGTTAGTCTATGTTAATCACTAAGTTCCATACATAATAATTAATTGCATTTCTTTCCAGTAATCAACATTATATCAAAACTATGTAGTGGGGCATTATGTTACAAAAAGAGAGAACTGATCTATTAGTTAATCACATTATATCAAAACTATGTAGTGGGGCATTACGTTACAAAAAAAGAGAGAACTGATCTATTAGTTAATCACATTATATCAAAACTATGTAGTGGGGCATTACGTTACAAAAAAAGAGAGAACTGATCTATTAGTTAATCACATTATATCAAAACTATGTAGTGGGGCATTACGTTACAAAAAAAAGAGAGAGAGAGAGAGATAGAGAACAGATATATTAGTTAATCACATTATATCAAAACTATGTAGTGGGGCATTACGTTACAAAAAAAAGAGAGACTTGATCTATTAGTTAATCTACTGTTGATTGAAACTCTTCCAATTAGCTATTTACTCATACCTGGAGTTATAAAGTCTACTGCTGATTCATCTACGGTCACTCTACCAGATTTTCCGTTTCTGCGAAGAGAAACGATGTGCCAATGGCCATCGTCCACTCGTCGTGTCGTAGTGGCCTTTACTTTAACAGCACCAGATCCTAAGTTTAAAAGTAGGTAAACATGACCTGCCAGGAGCTCAAATGCAAAAAAATCTCCTTGTGAGGTAGCACCGCTATTGTACATGAGTACTCCGTTCGCCTCGTTGGTTCTGATCTTGAAAGACAAACTACCAGTACGAGTGGCCTCCCAACAAGGCAAAGCCTGAAAGTAAAATAAAGATAGATGAATGAACTGCAGTTCTTGCAGATTTCAAAACAAGATAGCTTTGATACTTAACCCCCACAGATGTTCTATTACAGTTACCTTGGATCTGGATTCTTTGAAAGTGAAATGATACCATAACCCTTACAAATCTCCAAAAAACGCGACCTCTGCCTTTTCTCTGAAAATCAATTTATTTACGATCATAAAATATCTTTCCACTTCTAACATTCAATTTGACAACAATACTAGACAGAACACTCTTCATTTCTGATCGTCATTGAAGCTAAGAATATTTTTTTACTTCTACTACTGTAATCACGACTTTACAATTCATTTTATTTCAGAGTATTGACGCTGTCACGAACTTATTTTTCCCATGAGTTCATATAATCAGAGCTTTAATTACTGAATGCCAGTGTACCCAAGTGTAACCATGTCCTTGTGGAAACCTTTAACTTCGTTTATTTATGGTTGTCCTGTTAACAATAATTTATAAAATCATTTTCAAAAGAAATAATAAAATTTAAACACCTTAATAAACACCATCATCAAGCTTAGACAATAAAAAGATAATAGGTTTTTCGGGTAATGGAAAACTGGTTAAAAAGAAAACGTTCAGCTAAAAATATTGGAAGATTAAAACTTCATATCTTTATTAAACAGTTAAAGTTAAGATATTCAGAAAACATATGTGTCTTAGTGTTATTCTCGAATTACATAGGAAATTGTTTTACATCTCAAGCTATGTAATACACACTCACCCACATTTCATATTTTATTATTATATTTTATTGATTACTATAGCTCTAAACATGCTAGAGAAAACACCATCTAATTAATCTAGAATAATTCTTTAATATTTACATTTCGTACAAAGAAACATTTAAGAGGCGATACTTAATGTGCAAAAGTATATTTCACCAGTTTTTATTTGTTTCAGCGAGTTAGATTAGGAACCACATAATTCTGCAAAAAAAAAAAAAAAAAAAATCAGTATGATTTATTTGTAATTAACACATACTTCTCTCTCGACACCCCCTACAAAAGTTTTATGGTAAACATTTATGGCTCATTCCCCAAACTTTTCGTTGGATGATTTTACATCAATAAACACAAATATTTAAAAGATACGATACTTTCCCATCCTATCAATATTATCTCTTCCAACAAAGGTTTCTTAGAATTTGTTTACATCAATAGACAACAAATATTTCTAAGCATACTATGATACACCACCCAAGGTTTCTTTCTTAGATACGCTTGTGCCAGATAATACACATATTTAAAAAGATATCATAATACCCCACAAGGGTTTCGTAAGATATACTTTCATAAAACATTTAACACTTCACTCCTTCAAAGAGATATACTAAGATAACTCTAAACACCTACCCAAAAATGTGAAAAAAAGGTATTTGCTCACAAAGGTGTCACTTTTTATATATTTTAGTTCAAATTTCAAATTGTTAAGAATAATTTATTAAGTAAAATTTACTGGTTTATGTATATATTTGTGCAAATAGTTTGTTTATAAGTCATATATACCGTATGCTACGTATTGAGAATTCAAAATAGTCCGAAGCCGATATTTTAGTTAATTTACACTATTTGCCAACAAGATTGACACACACCATCTTCGTTTTCACACAATACCGTTTTAATATATATATATACAACAGTTCAATTTACAACAAGAATTATTACGAATAATTACAACAACCAAAGTTTTATAAAACAAAAACTTCACTAACTTACAAACAACACAAAATCTTTCTAGTTTAAAGTCTCCTTGATATCCAGCGGGTTAACTTGAAGTCGATGGATGTACAATTGCCGAGAAGCTACCTAGCTTTGTCAGACACTGAATTGTTGGACCATCGAAGTAAGATAATATTTTCATAAAACCACTAATGTCCAATGAGAATTCAGTAATACTTTCGGAAAGATATTAACGTCCGATGAGAATCCACTGGTGTTCGAAATTTATAACTGTTCCTGGTCAAATGTCGTATATTATCCGGTTGATGAGGGTTAGCAAAATCACGGTTTATAGCGTACACAGTTATAACAGGTTCCTAGCAGACTTATACACTCTCTCTTTTTTTTTTTTGGCGCATCGCCTTTTATAGGCGCTGGAAAGATTTTCTCAAAAGTTCCGACAACAATACTGAACTATATTTAACCGTTTACGGAAGTGGTTATATTGTCGATTCTTGCATTCACAAATATTCTACAATCTTGGAGAATTGGCGGGAGTTTCGCCACACGTAACTAACACTGTAAGCTAGGCACGTTTTTAAATATAAACTCATTCCAAATAAACGTTATATATATTATATACATTATATATATATACATTGGCCAGATTACATTGTACATAATACACTATTTAAAAGATTATACAACTTCAATAATAATTACAGTATAGAATACAACCTATACAAATCACCTTACCATATACCTTGGTATATCTGGTGGTCTCCATTTCCTCATAAGCACACCATTTTTGAAAAATAACCATTTGGAATTTTCTCCAATTCATCTTTTGGGTGTGCATATTTAAATAGTGAAGTGATCTGCAAATATTTTTCTTGTTGAGTGATCAGTTTACTTTTAGTCAATGGAATTTCACCAGGTGAATTAGATCCTTCACGTCCATAATTGTCACTCATCGAGGTATTGTCAGTGGGACGATCATCCACCAGATTCCTGTTGGATCCAAAAAATGTCTGAGTCATATATATAAAATCGTCCTCTGAATCCATGGCTATCATTCGTTTATGGCTTAATTTCTTAGCCTGAGCTCGAGTCACAGAACACAAGGGAAACACATCGGGATTCTTCTCAACTACGTCATCCTTAGATGAAACAGTGATCGGCTCGTTAACCACTTTAGGTTCAGCAACAACTTTTCCCCAGCCAAATCGTTTCCCAACAACAATGATACACCCTTAATTTGCAGAATAGGTCTTATCCCAACTACAACTGGTCCCGAAACTAGGTCTGATGCTTAATAAATATTATGAAGAGGAACATTAACAAAGCCACCCTCAATACCCTGAGCAGTAACAGACTTACCAATCTAAAGGCAATACACCTTTTAACAACAATGATTGAGTCGCCCCAGTAACACGTAGAATACGTATGGGTATGGATGGGATTGCCAGTGTCATTTGTCACAGACACAGAACCAACAGACACAAAAGGTTTACATTCCTCCCTGATTACATCAGCCTTTATATCAGTGGCTAAATCAACAACATTGGGTGATCTGGTGAAACTACATCCATATGTGGACACAAACGCACTGGGTGTTGCCTCCTTTTCTTTCTTTTTTTTCAAACCCCAACAATCGGACATAACATGACCAGGTTTTTTACAAAAATGGCAGACAGGCCTTGATGGTTTTGACGAAGTTTTAGTCCAACTTTATGAAGATTTCGAACTAGAGAAGCTGGATTTTTTAATGAATCCCCAACTTCAGTGGATTGAACAAGTACAGGTTTTTGCTGAAATGGTAGGAATTTCTTTTTATGAAAAGTTTGATTATTTTTTTGCGATAACCTCTAAACTTTTGGCGATAAGCCTCCGGTACTAACCTGTATGCTTTGAGAATAGCTGCTTTAACCTT